CGGTTTATTGGCAAGGCATAAAGTAAATCCGGACTGGCATCTGGGCCAGGGGAGCCCTCTTTTATGGGATTCCCCTGGCTTGTAATCACACAATTCCATTGGCTGGTAAGACCCCATTGCTAGTTAGCCAACCAGCAACGGGCATGAAACTGTATGCAGATGGAGAAGGGCAATCACCCTTAATGGGTGATCAGGATGCACATAGGGATTAAGGGGGGGGAATACAAAAGAACACAACAGATACTGTAGATATTGATAATCTTATATATATCTAAGAGTCAGTTTGGTGTAGTGGTTAGGTTGCTGGCCAATGAAGCAGGAGACTGTGATTTCTTAGGCATAAAAACTGGGTTGGTGACTTTGGGCCAGACATTCTCTCTCTGTTCAACAGACGCCAACAAGGTTGTTAATGTAAGAAAAAAAAGGGGGCAGAAAAATTAAGTGTATATTCCCCACCTTGAGTCATATATAATAACAGGAGGATAAAAATGTTATAATAATAATAATAGGAACAATGGTGGTCCTGGCAATTATTGGCACACTGGGCTCAATATCATAACATCTTGGATGACACTTAGAACATCTATGCACTGACAAAATGTCCACCTGTCTATTACAAAAGGCCACTGCTTGGATCTGCACATATACCATAACATCCTAGGTTCTTGGGAAAAAACAGTGTATGAAGGTCACCAGCAGCTAAACAACAGGCAGCAGTTATTTTACATTATTTTATACATACATACATACATACATACATACATACATACATACATACATACATACATTGTTCAATTCACTTGTATGAATTGAATGGGTGTTTTAGAACCAGCTTATAAATCCAAGTAAATCACATCAAATACCATTCAGGTGACTTATGTAGGATCCTATGGCGCAATTTTAAATGTATACCCATTCAGTTTCTCCTCAAAGGAGTGGCATGATTGTAAACTTCCACTGTGGAAAGAAATAAAGTCTGAGTATATGAAGTGACCAAAAGCTTCTACCTGTAGTAAATAATCTGTGGTAGCTTTAGAGATGTTTATTCAGAAACTAATTAGATTTGCAATAACATACAAGCATAAATTTGTCTACCCCCATTTGCAATCATATTTAGGAAACTATAAATTACATATTTATGACTTGAATTGACAATGGGAGAATATGCCTTCCCTTGTTAGAAAAGGCATAGTCTTATTTGAATGTATTTAAATTCTATGTATTTGAGCATTTGGCCTATCAAGAGTTGAATAAAATTTCTACAGCTATACACTTTCTTGGACTGGGGTGTTTTCGCCATTATTGTTGTTGACATACTGCATTATAAAAGCACCAACATGACAACTGAAGGATGGTTTACAGTGCTTAGACCTCTCTTGGCTCCAAAGTAATTCTCGAGCTAGAGAACCAAACCATTTGTCTCTTGTCCAGCATTTATTATGTTCATGACAGAATGCCCTTAATCATAAAGAATCTAATCTGAAAAACCAAAGCCAATGATAGTTCAGTCCATGCATTCTTGTGTTTTCTTCTTCAGTTCCCTTCTGGCAATTTTGATTGTTTTATAAAATGTGTTAAAAGCAATCTGGTATATCTCACAATTATTGCTAACAGAAGCATTGAACTAAAAAAATGAGATTACACAACTTGATTCTAAATAAGCTCTTTTGGAAACTAAATCATATTGCAAGCTAGGTTTCATCACTTAGTACAAAATAGTGCATATCAGGTATCTGTTGAAAATGACTTAAAATGTTAAACAACTAGAGATGTTGTTTTGTTCATCTCTGTACGGTCTTCAGTATGCCAGGATTTTTGTTGATAGAGCATGGTAGAAAGCAGAAAGGACACAGACAGAATTCTCCAGAATTGTCCTTAGCTGCTTTGTATCCAATATCAGTAGCAGTTTTACAAGTATTTAAATTATCTTTAGGTTAAGGTACATTTCCAGATTGCAATCACATATTCTAAAAATAAATGCTAAGTAATCTGCATTTTCCAGTACAGTTTAATAATGATGATGATGATGATGATGATGATGATGATGATGATGATGATGATGATAAAGTTGGAAGGGACCTTGGAGGTCATCTAGTCCAACCCCCTGCTCAGACAGGAAATCCTATACCATTTTGGACAAATGGCTGTCCAGTTTCTTCTTAAAAACTTCCAATGTTGGTGCATTCACCGCTTCTGGAGGCAGGTTGTTCCATTGGTTACTTGTTCTAACTGTCAGGAAGTTTCTCCTTAGTTCTAGGTTGCTTCTCTCTTTGGTTAGCTTCCAGTTTGGGCCAAACAGTTATGTATTGATATTAAGAGTTAATGTGTTTTGATTTAAACATGTCTCCCACTGTTTTGGAGGGAAAGTTAACTTTAAGTTTGAGTGGGAAAACAGCTTATGATTTGATTGGTTGCTGCGTAGAGGCGGCAAGTATAAATAGCTGTCATTCTGTCAGTTAAGTTCAGTTCTGCTTCTGCTGTAATAAATCGTGTTGTATTAGACCGGTCTGGTTAATGCCTCTAGAAAAACCCACTACACAATAGTGGCAATGAAGGTGGGATGTTGCTGAAAGAGAGAGATGATGCCTAATTGACTCTGAGGTCACTGGGTGTTAGACCAGGCACAAAAGTCCTGGTGAGACCACGTCCCCACCCTGCCTGCCAGTAAGCCACACTGGAGGCACAGTGTCCTGAGGGATCTGTCCCCAGGATCTAGGCAGCTCAGTTCCTATCACAGCAAGAGAGGCAGTGTCCAGGACCTCACTGAACTACTACCAT